TTTGAAAGAGAATTTATTTTAAAGTATTTCCATCGTATTTTTATCTTCTGATGCCTCATAAAAAGTAGAAAGTGCATTTCGACATTGATTCGATGACTCATCTGGATGTGTACATAGACTACAATTTTTCATGGACATAAATTCAATGTGGTGGTTGTAAGTTCAGCTTTAATTGGTTATTTGTTTTGACCAATCAATGCAGACTGAGTGGTCAAATTTTTTTTCTTCCATTGTGCATATCTATGTGAATAAGGGCGTTATTTTGTTTTACTTTGTTTCTCTTCTTCATCGCTCGTATAAAACTGATACTAAGCACTGTTTATTAATCGTATCATAGTTAGAAAGTTATCTAAGTCGTCTGAATATATATTCTATTGTTTTTCTTTTTTAAAATATTTTGATAGAGATTTTTGAACAAAAGATAAATATAAACCTTTTATCTAACATAAGCAGATAGAAAGATAAATATATGAATTAGCTAAATAAGTGAGTTTCTCATCAAAGTGATCGATTCGTATAATTATTGCATACTATTATGATTACATATATTTATTGTTTTTTTATTATCATTACGTAAATCTATAATATGTATATATATATTTTTTTTTTCTTGTATAAATAGCAATTAATCTTCTCTCCCTTCTGTTGTATATATAAATTTATCTAGAAAATGCTTCGTCATCTGGCGTATGTCACTCATTTGTGGTGCATGTTCTATTAACGTACAGTTGTTTAGTTATCATTGATTAACCTTCTATATGTTCATCGGTGCTATTTACATTTTTTTAAATATGTATTGTCCCCATAGTTATATTTACTTATTGAGCATAATTCAACAACGGTTGCTTGGCACCCAAATTATACACTTATTTGCAAAGTAACGAATAACAGCAAGAATCCATATAAAAATAACATACTTCTTTTTAGCACAAATTCGACTATTGCTTCTTCTAATCATTCAATCTACAACCGCTGTCTCTCTTCTCTCATTTGCTTCTCGTTCTTTCCTCTCTTTGGCGTTCAATTTAATGTGTACGTTTGCCCTTCACTAAAGCTCCCTCCCCCACTTGATTATTGCATTAGTTAACATTTTGGAGACGGGATATAAGTGTGAAAGAAGCATAATACATTCATATACAGAAAAAAAAACGAAGAAAAAGCAGTCTTATGTAATCCACTTTTATTCGCAAATTGTCTAATGTGCATATACGCCTGTTCAAAGTACATCTCATCGTTTCTTCTGCTCCATCGCACGGTTAAACTTGAACACTCATTATTCTTCACCATCATTCAATAGAAAATATATACATTCATTTTTCAAAGGTTTCACACTCAGTATATATACTAGTAAGTAAAATAGGGCGGTGTCTATACAGGAAATATCTGTAGTATGTGGCGAGAAGTCAGTCAGCATGTGTTGATTTTTTAATGATATGTGTGAATGTACCAAACACATTTATACACACAGACGAGTCATTTGCATAAATGTCAGAGACAAAAAGAGAAGTTCCACTTTGATTTTTTTTCTTTCTTTCTCTCTAGAAGATTAATCGTTCATTAATAGAACGCGACGAGCGCCATCGTTGACGAAATGGCATCATCGTTGCTACTACATTTATTCAATGGTAAGTCGACATTCTTATTTTTTTTTCTCTTTAAATACATGTAGACACTAATATAAGAATCTCTTAACTTGAGATTAATTGTTCCATTGTTGTATCAAATTCTCACGAGAAAAGCCTAACGACAAACACTTTTAATTCTCATTCTGAATATTAACAAAATAAAAAAAGCACGTAGACATGAATATGTTATGCCATAAAAAATATCTGTATTTATTTTTTTCGTTTATCTATATATCTTGTGAAACTAGTAAGATGAACGTACTGTTATTCGTATAGGATTATCTTATGTGAAAAAAAGAAATGCAACATCAAAAGAACATTTCTTTGATCTATTAAATTATGACATATTATCAGTCGAGTAAGCACATTTATTTTCCAATTAATATTAAAGAAGTGTGAAATTATCTTCCTATTTTATCGCAGGTCATCGAGTTTTTTTTCACTGATTAAAAAAAAAATTTTCTATTTTTAGTCTGTCTATTAATGACTCTCATCGATTTGGTATTATCAAAAACTGATCTATCAAATCGTTCAACAAATGAAAGTCCGATTCTTCAATTATCTGTCTATCCGAATGCTGGTGCTTCAACTGAAAAAATCGAAGTTCGCTGTGAAATAGCTCAACCAACATCAATATCACCATTGTCATCTTCGAAATTTGAAAATGTTTTTTTGTCAGTTAAAACAGATCATGTTAAACCATCGGGTATTCTTCTTATGTTTGATGATACTGCTGATGGATGTCGTAGAAATCGAGACAATATTTATATTGATTTTTGTAATGCATCACTTATTTTAATTCATATTAGTCATACAATTCTTAATGAAACTCTTGAAAAAATAGATTACGAATGTCTAAAAGGATCAACTGCAGTAATGAGTTCATATAGAATAAAAAGTAAATAGTTTTCTTCGAATAAAAAAATATTAATTCTTATTTAATATGAATTTAGAAGATCAATATGCACGCTATTATGATCCAATATATAATTCATCGTCTTGTTTGGCACATACTTCTTTACTTTTATTATTTGTCATTTTCGTAATACGAATAATAAAATCAAAAATTAAATGGTCATGAAATAATAAATGTATACATGTGTGTGTCATTCTGTGATAAAGGTCATTTATTACTTATTTTGTGCATTGAAATCTTCACATAATAACACATACAGCTATTTTTGTTTTTCTTTATGTTTATTTCTACTTTTATATATTGTCATCTTAGAAAGTTACTGAATATTATTCATTCCAGAATCTCCTCTGTAAACATAAAAAATTTTGTTATTCGTGCATTTTTTATTTGCAATTGATAGCTGAGAATGCCGATAATATAAACTATTAAGCATATATGTTTTTTGCTTGTTTTTCTTCCGGTACTTATTGCTCTTCTCGCGCTCTCATTTATGTGAATGACTGTTTTTTTTTTGTTTTGGTTTATTTGAAATATATCATCTTTAGTAGATAGACAGAGAACATTTTTGTTCTTTTAGATGGCAATTAGTTATACGTCATTATCTCAACGTGAACGTAATTCTCAAGCATTTTTTCCTAATTCTGCAGCACATTCTGATCCTTGTCGTTTTGTCTGTATCTATCCAGCTGACTTAAGCTCAAAAAAACAAACTCAGGCACAAATTTATCATGTAGAAGACAACAAAAGCATTAGATAATCCAACAGTCAAGGACATACGTGATATATTAGAAAATGTTGATCTAAAAACAATTGCAAAAACGAATCGTTTATATTATCGAGAAGAATTTCATAAATTACAACATCATCGTCATCTATAATAAAAAAAATATGAATGGATCATTAATACAACGTCATACCAAAATTGAAAACACCTAGTGCAATTCAACAACAACATCAGAATCAGCAAAGAAAAAGGAAGGAACGATAACCATAAGAGAATTATACATATTGTTTTTTTTCGTTATTTTATTATTTTAAAAAATAAATCTATCAATGTATCTTTATTTTTTTAATTAAATAAGAGAAATAAAACGAATGAAATTTAAATTTTAGATCTGTGATATTTTCTCTTTTTCATTTTTTTTCTGCGCTTGTTGCGCATTGAAATAATTTAAACGACAATGTTGATCGACGAAACAAATATTGATCAAATAATAAATACAATACAGAAACTTCATCAAACAACAACTGATCATAGACTAATTGATTTAACTGAATATTTAACTGAGTTTTTTCAATCTATTCAACCAGAACAATCAGATTTATTTCGTATATTAACATGTCTTATACATGATTATCAAGATTGTGCCGCATTGAAAATTGAATTTCTTAAAGCACAATGTTTAGAAACACTTTATCGAATATTAGATACTGATGAAGACAATATAATATCAATTTTAGAATTTATTATTGAACTTTTGAGTAATTCTGAAAATGTTCAAGAAAAATTTCTTCATTTCAATGGTTATCAAAAATTTTTTAATTCACTTTGTTATATACATTCACCAACAATGGATTTTATTAATCAATTAATTCTTCTTATGATTGAAAAATCAACATTACAAAATGAAGATCTATTAACACAAACCATTGATTCATTTGTTATTTTGAATAATCCACACATTGCTATTTCACTTATATATTGGATACCATATTTAATAGATGTATCAGATCAACATTATGTTATATCATCAATAGATAAAATTGTATTACGTTCATTACAAAATAAAATGATGGCTTGCTCAAATGGACTAATTTTTGCTTTACTTGAAATACTCAACAATAATGATGAGAATTCAAATAAATTAGAAGAAAAAATTGTAATTGATATTTTTTCTTTATTAGAAAATTTATCACGATTTTCGATAAATCCACAAGAAATTCGATATATATGTCAATTCCTTTATCAAAACACATCATTTAAAAAACAATTATTACAACTGTTAATTAAAGCAGCTAAACATGATGATCCAGATGCACAACCAATTTTATCTTATTTCGATTTACAACAAGCAAATAGTGTAAAAAAAAAAAAGAATTTTGTTTTTTTGCTTTTTGTATTTGAAATTTTTGATAAAATTTATTTATTTTAGGGTATTATTTTACCTATTATTCGTCGATGGCCATCATCATCAACAACATCAACAGCTCATCATTTTTCATTTCATTGCTGGTTAAAACTTAATCATGAAGTTCATTCATATCCATATGAAGGACGTCGTCAAATCTATTCGTTCTATTCTAATTCAATGGGTTTAGAATCATTTATACGTTACTCATCATTATTTATATCAATAACTGATCATCGTGAACTTGTTTATATTGAAATATGTGATTGTAATGATTTAATTGATGGTTATTGGCATTCATTAACCATTGTTCATAAAGCACACCGACCATCTTTATTTGTTTCAGCATTTCAAACAGTACAAACATGTCATTTAACTATTTATATTGATGGTTTATTAAGGAAAGAAATCAAAGATTTTAAATATGTATCAATTATAAATGATCCAATTATTTCAGCTTCAATTGGTTTACCAAGTCAACCACCAAAATTATCGATATTAAAAATAAAAAATGAATCATTATCAACAACAATTGCTAAAACAATGCAACCATTGAAAGGATTGCTTTCATCAAAAACGAAAAGTTCAATAAATCGTAAAGACAATCAAGGATTTTATTCACCAAATGTCTTAATCATTGATCCAAATATTCAAGATACTGTATTCGGTCAATCAATTTGTTTATATGGACAATTAGCTTGTGTGTGGGTTCTGGCAGAAACATTAGATGAATTACACGTAAAACATTTACATGCAATGGGTAAAAATCTTTAGAAAATTACAGAGTAAAGCAAAATGTAAAACATAGTTCGAAATCTTCGAACGATAAGACAAGAATACACTAAATAAGTTTTAAAATTTGTAGATTTACATTTTCCTTAGTTCATAAGTTCTTACGAATGTATTTCTTTGTTTGATAATACAACAAAAGTTAACATTAGCAGTACCACCTTTAGGATTACCACTTGTTGTCCACTTAGGGGTCTGTGCGAACTCTAATTGATAAGATACATATAGCACACAAAGTTGTTACTAGTTTATGCTGGACATGTGAAAACTTGAGTACAATAAGGAGAAACAGAAAAATGGTTCTATAGTTTGAATTATATTTAACTAGTCTTTTTCATAGTCTTGTTATTTTCTGTTTTCAAGACATTTGAATTCATGCATCATTATTTAATATTCACATATATTTTGAATTGCTCTACATAAAAAGAACTATTATGCATGATTGACTGATGTTATCAATTTATTATACTAAGTGTCTCCAACGTATACCTCAAAGGATATAGTTCGATTAAATGTTGTGAATACATAATATAATAATGAATCTCACTGAGATCCGGATAGACCTCTGGTAGTGCACAAGCGTTCATCTGTACTTCGGAATAGTTTATTCACACTAATAATAATTGACGTAAGTGGCAGATATTATCACCATACTCTACTAGTCTTTATTAGAGCATATCTGGAAGATGAACGATTTCATCTAATACTATGTACTAGTAATAGTGTAGTGGAAATAACTAAGGCTCACGCAGATCTCACATGGTCATGTTACAATTAATAATGTTGCCTTATAGTAACTTGTGGTATGAAGAATAGCAACGTCAAAAGAATTTTGCTTATTCTAGATTGATTCAATATTGAGTAGACTATGCATAATATTAAGGGAATTTCATGCAGCTGCCGAAATCTTCAAATCCATTTTGTATTTATGTCTTTGGGTCAAAAAAGAAAAGAATTTTCGACCTGTGGGAAACTGTTCGAATTTCTTCCTATACTTCAGTATTCGTTTAAAATGGGTTTTCATATAAAAATCTCTTTGTTTTAGGTAGTGATTTCTGTCGTCAACGTCATTTCTCAATACTCCATGATGATGCTTCAAAATCTTCGACTATATTCGATCTTCTTTCTAATCATTCACTTCATGCTTATCATCCATTGGCGTGTAATGGTCACATATGTACTGATGTATCAGGCAGTTCTTCTCGAATAAATAATGGTCGACTTATCAATGGATTATGTTTACGTCTTCATCTATTTTCTCAATCAATTTTTAATTTAGGTGGTTGTGCAATACTCTATCCATTAATTGAATTATTTCAAGAAAATGATTATGATGAATCAGACAATCTACTCTCATCAAATGAAAATAGAGATTCAAAAGAATCTTCATCTGATACTAATAAACAGTTATATTCTAATCCAATTGCATCAATAATATATCTGATTCGTTGTATTTTATCATCTTCATCGACAAATCTTTTAATTGAACAAATGACTAAACATCACAATATTGAAATATTAGGAAAATATTTAAATAATATTCCATCATTCTTTATTGATAAACAATTATTAATTTCAATTGAACAATTAATTGAATCAAGTCAACTTATTGATCCATCGCATTTATTAACAACTCAATTAATTCAATATATTTTATTTGATTTTAATTTATGGAATAAATCTAAATTTCATATAAGAATATTACATTTACAATATATATCAATTGTTATTCAATATGATAAAAAATTTGATCGAGAAAAATTTCGTGTACAATTCTTTTTAGATATTCTTAAACAACATTTTAAGTAATATGAAAGTCTTTATTTATCAAGAAACCATCTGAAGTGACACCTTGTGCTTGAGATGAATTCCAGTCATTTCGTAGAATTTGTTCAGACTAGAAGAAATCTAGAAGGATTCTTCCTCATGCGCCGTCTTATTGAAGTTACAGTCATTAAAACAAGACACTTTTCAATTTAGGTCTAAAACTTTGCTCATAAACTGATCTTCAAGTTATTAAAATCTTCTAAAAAGTTTCAACTAAAAAATAATCTCTTCTCGAGATATGAAATCTCTGCAAAAGCTAGAGTTTCCGTTGTTTTGATGGAATATCATAGTTTTTTGTGGATTTTGTATTTTGAGAAGAGACGACTCTTTTTGGTCGGAATTTTTAAAAGATTTTAATAAATCCCAGAGCAGTCTATAAACAAAGTTTTAGGTCAAAAGTGAAAAAGCATCTAGTGTAATGACCATAATACCAAATGAGAAATGCATGAGGAAGAATTCTTCTAGGTTTCTTTTAGTCTCAACAGGTCCTATGTAATAACTGCGATCTCATCTCGAACGCGACGTATCACCTAGGGTGTTTTCCTTGTTAGTTTAATTCTTTATATTTGTTTGAATTTGTTTAGAGACGATACAGATGAACAACAGCAATTACGTAGCTCTATTTATGGAATAATTCAATATTTTATTCAAAGTCATGTTCATATACAAGATTTAAATGCACTTCTTTCTACTATATCAACATTATCAATGTCAAATGATGTCATAACTCATGAATTACTTGATTTTATTTTTGAATTACTTGATTCATCATCAATATCAACTGAAAGAATAATTGAACTTCTATGTGAACCGAATATGATTCAAGGATTATATTCTCTTTTAGTTGTGAATAAGTTATCAAGTGAAACAAAAGATATTGTTTGGAAAATAATGAAATGTCTTATTGAATCAAAACAAGTATCACAACAAGCACAAGCTCAATTAAGATTAGAGACAAATCATATTGGATTTGGAGGTATTATATCTGGAATGGTACTTCGTGAATTAAACCAATCGATTGTTGAAGAAATTCTTAATATAATTATGACTTCTAGTATGTTACTACTGAAAACTATAAGAATTAAAATGTTTTTTTTTTCGTTTTGTTTTTCAAGATTCATTAATTGCTATTCATCATCTCAATGTTGTTTTAACGCTTTTTGGTGCCGCATCACTAGAAGTTCGTCGTATAGTCGTGCGTAAAGTAAGAAAAACATGAATTTTATTTTTTATTTCTTTATTGATATTTTTTTTTCTTGTTTGAAGCTAATGACATATTTTATCGATCATCCATCTGCATGTCATTTGTATGCTAAATGTTATGGATGGCAAGAGACATTAGCTAACTTTTTTGTTAAAGCACGTCGTTCAAACTTAGTACAGTTGTTACCTTATGAAACCGTAGCTCCTGATGTTTCATCGACATACAAAAAAGATCAAAATCTTAACTCAAGTGAAGAAAGTTCTGATCATATAAATTCCAATGATAGTAATTTGCACTTAGTATCAACAACGACATTTGACATAGCATCAAGTTCAGACGATCTATCACAAACACGATATGATCAGAAGCTTGATTTAGCATCAATAGTCAATATAACAGCTGATTTAGATTTAAAATTAATATGTACATCTTCAGATAGTTCTTTAACATCAAATTCTCTTGATGCATCGATGAGTCTTTTAAGTAATAAACAAGATTTGGCTATTGATTTTCGCCAATATTCAAATGAAACAACAATCGCACCACTACAATCAAATTCTGCTAGTAAAGAAGATCTCCTTGCCTTCTTTAAAATAGGAGATTCATATGACAATATTATGGAGATGGTTGACAAAGACAATGATCTATCATCATCATTACCACGAACAACTACTCGTACAAGTAGGACAAAACTTCATGATGATAAAACAAAAAATGACGAGTATAGACGATTTAATTCAACACTTAGACAGTTTTAAGGTTGACTCATATTTCAGGTTTATAACAAAGTAAAAGATTTAGAGTGAATTTTTTCATAATTAAAAAGTAAAGTGTGTGGCTAATCATAGATGATAAAGAATGGATTTGATTGACTCACTGTAGAATTAAATAATATTTATTAACAACCACTCTTTACAAAATGAACAACCTAAATACTATGAATATATTATTGTTCTTTAAGGTACAAGCAGTGCTGAAGATTCAACATTTTATATTCGATCGTCTGTTATTAGTAGTGATGATAATACTCTTGAAGAAATGTGCGAAACATTACTCTTAGTGATTGTTATGATTCTATGGAAAGGAATTGTCGATTGTGATGATGCTGCTTGGATAGTTTGTTATCGTTGTAACCTGTTTTTTTTCTTCTTATAATCTTTTATTTCTTTTTTTAGACTCGTGGTCAAATATTTTCGGCACTTCGTCATCTTCATCGTGAATATGATTTATTTTTACCATTAGATTATATTGAACGACGTATCTTGGAATTAAGTATGGAAACATGTTTAATTGATATTAAATTAGATGGAGGTATGAAGTTTTGTTTTATTTTTCTATTTAATCTTTTGTTTTTATAAAAAAATAAAAGTAAAGCATGTTTATGACCGTCTCAATCGACGGTGTATTAGTTTTAGCGGCTTACGTAAGTTATAAATATATATATATCAAACTATTGTTGGTGTTAATTACTGAATGTTGTTATTTTTCTTTTTTCTTTAATTCGTAAAAAAAGATAATTTCTTTTCCTAGATAAACAAGCATCAACTTTTGAAAACAATTGTCATGAATTAATAAAACTTGTTAATGATTATCTTTCACAATCAATAGATAACAGTGAACGAATAACCGAAAGTCTTGTCAATGGTAATTCTTATTTTATAATAAAATAAATTAATCTTTTCATTTATTTTTCTTTAAAAAGGAATTATTCCTATACTTGATACAATGCTTATATTTAACAAGAATGGTACTAGTGGTAGTGAATCAATATCTGCATGTGTTCCTTCTAATGATCATCGGTCAGAAACATCTTTCACTGGTCTTAATATTCTTCTTATTCTTCTTGCTCATTCAAATATATCATTTTCTGGATTGGCATCTATTCGTATTCATTCATTATTAAATTGTCATCGATTAAATGGAAGAGAAGAAGCAGCTTATCTTTTATCGAGTGTTAATAATATATTTTCATCGATTTCAAATATTGATGATTCCGAACATTGTACACATTTGTTATCATTAATGCACATAATTATTGATAAATCTTTTGATTTACTACAAATCAACTTATGCATTCCAAACATTTCAGTATACATAGCAAAATCAATGACACTAGATGATTTACGTCAATGTATTTCATCAACAAATCGTGAAGATTGGCAAATGTTTATTCAAAAAATTACTGAACCATATGCAGATCATTATCGATCAATGTCTGTAAGACCATTTCAAATGAATATGAAAATCTGGTGGAATAATTGTCATGAAATGATGAATATTGGCATACATAAACGTAATCGACAAATTGAAGTAGAAAAACTAAAATTTCAAGTAACAAAAAAAAACTATTTATAAATTGTTTGTAATTAAAAAAGATTTTTGTTTTGTAGAATCATATTGTTCAACTATGGCATCAACGTAGTCGTTTACATGATGAACGTACAATAAAATTAAATGAACAACACTGTATTCGTCAAATATATATTGATCATAAATGGAAAAATCAAAAGAAATATTTATATGGTGAACGTGGTTTATATTTAAATGATAAAACTATTAAAGAACGTTATTGGATGTTATCTAATCGAGAAAATATTCATCGAATGAGATGTAAACTTATTGAAAATGATTATTTCAATAAGCATGAAGAATCAAGTCGTCTGCGGGATAACTTAGGTGTTGATAAAACTGTTGAAACTGATCAAAATATGTCGGGCAAAATTTTAAAAAACGAACAAAGTCTATATTTGATTGATGAACACGAACTTTTCGATGTTTTTAATGAAAATAAATCATATGTTTCTGACAAAAAAGAACATATGTAAGTTAAGAAAAATTAAAACATTTATATTTACATATTCTTTTTTTAAATTATAGTATTATTGGAACAAAATGTTCATTAATAACTTCAACATCAATAGCTGATGGACAATTTATAACAACGGATAAATATATTTATTTTTTCGATTTATCACAATTAAAACCGTGTCAAAATAATTTCAAATATCCACTATTATGGTTACAAGATATATATTTACGTCGATATAATTCACGTCCAACAGCCTTAGAATTTTTTTTTATTAATCAAGCAAATTTTCTTTTAAATTTTGATAAAAATCCTGGAAGTGTTGACAAAAAATTACGCCGTCAAATTTTTCACAAACTCATGTCGTTAAAATTACCATCGATAAAAAGTGTTTTTTCAAGTTTAATAACAACAATAGCACCAGAAGAAATTTTTAAAGAATCAAAAATAACTCAAAAATGGATTAATCATGAAATATCAAATTTTGATTATTTAATCATGTTAAATACAATTGCTGGACGAACTTATAATGATCTTAATCAATATCCAATATTTCCATGGATATTAAAAGATTATACATCACAAGTATTGGATATTAATAATCCAAATGTTTTTCGAGATTTGTCAAGACCTATTGGAATTCAAAATCCAAAACATATTGATGAAGTTAAACTTAAGTAAGTTTTTCTATTCGGAAGATAAATGTCATACATTCAAAAGCGTGGGAACTACAAAACAAAAACGATAGATGCGGAATGTACTAGCAATTCGAAGGCATCTTAAAACCACGTGATTAGTATTATGATCAGTTTGGAGCAATTTTTTTTAGACGATGACTAATTTTTTGTATTACTTGTTGCTAGAGCATCATGAAAGCCTCAAAGTAAAATACAAAAAACTCTTCTTATAGTGCAATCAAGATATCCAAACAGATCTACTTTTCATATATCTAGTCTTCTGGATGATAGGTTACGACCCATTTCAGCTTGCCTATGTCTGTCAGTCGCTTGCGTCGACCTCCCTATCGTGTCATGAATATTTTATTTTTTCTACAGACGATCATTGTGATAATAGATGAAATGGGAACAGAAAATTGTTCGAATAAACAAGGAAATTATCTATACCAAAATGGCATGACTATACGAAACATTTAATTATGTAATACAATATGTATCCATTGAAAAAAGTAAAAAAAACAACCATTTAGAAAGAATTATTTTGTGAAAGAATACCTTAAGTGAGTTTGATGATCTAGTCGAAAGTAACATATGAAGTTCTGTCATATTGCGACAACATAAATATGAATCAGAGAACGATAAGATATACTCATCGGTTTATATAAGATAATAATAGTAACTGAGCGAAATGAATAAAAAACGAAATCAATGCACGATGAACAATAGAGTCACAAAAACTATAATCAGTTATGATTGTGTCCAGTCAAAGTAAAAAAAAAGGAATTTTTTTTATTATTGAGAATTTAAGAAAAATATGCCACGTGAATAGTCTCTCAATTTTAAACGGTCTGTCTAAAATTTAAGAGGCTCGAAAATAAGAATCTGTACTTATCTTAGGAAGACAGGCGAAGATACTTGATGACATGGTTCGATCTCTTGTATCTATTCATAAGTATAACACGAACGGACGGACAAACACTACTTTCTTCAGTTTAGTGATTATCTGTATGTATGGTAAAGAAATATTGTCTATGCAACAAAAAACTGTTAATTATAAAAGGTGAATTGTAGAATGATGAAAGAGGACGGTCAAGATCATTAGAAAAACTAATACAAGTGCCACACTTGTACAATTCAAGCAAAGACGATAGAATTCTTTTTATTGAATTCAATTTATACAAATGCGAATAGTAGCTAATGATGCTTTGCATTTTTTACTAGGTATAAGAATATTATATCCTATAAATCAACCAACGGTACCATTGATTTGTTCTAGAATCGTTATATTCTTATGGGACTAAACATTTTGCTTCTATTTATTTTGTGGACCTTCTTCTTCTAGTCATTAAAGTCCTATGAAATTGCGTGACTATAGTGCTGGAGAATAAGGATTTCGAGAACATGTTTTATGTGATCATCTGATTTTCAAACACGTCTGAGCACCTATTCTCGTTTATCATCTCGGATTTTGTAGATAATTGACAGTATTGCCGATTAAAAAAAATATCTTTACTAATTTTAAATAGATATGAATCATTTGATGATCCAACTGGTTTGATAAGAAAATTTCATTATGGTACGCATTGTTCAAATGCGGCAGGTGTTATGCATTATCTTATTCGTATGGAACCATTTACTAATTTACATATTCAATTGCAAAGTGGAAAGTATGTAAATAGAATATAGTTATGAATCAAAATATTTAATTAAACTCTATTTAGATTTGACATAGCAGATCGACAATTTCATTCATTTCAATCATCATGGACAAATATAATGGATTCACCAAATGATGGAAAAGAATTAATACCGGAATTTTTCTATTTACCAGAATTCCTTTTAAATTCAAACAAATTTGATTTAGGAAAGCTTCAGTCTAATGATCAACATGTAAATGATGTTCAATTACCACCATGGGCTCATGATTCACCAGAAGAATTTATTCGTCTACATCGTTTAGCACTTGAATCAGATTATGTTTCTACACATCTTCATGAATGGATTGACCTTATTTTCGGTTACAAACAAAAAGGACAAGCAGCTATTGATGCACTTAATGTATTTATGCATTATTCTTATGAAAAAGTACCTGGTATTAACACAATTGATGATTCAGTAACACGTGAAGCCATTGATGGTATGATACAAAATTTTGGACGTATTCCATATCAACTACTAACTGAACCACATCCACAACGGCAATCACGTGAACAAGCAGCATTTCAAAATGACATACAAGGACGTCCATTAAATATATTTCAAAATTTACGTTATATGAAAGTATATTTCGTTGAAATAACATCTGCAAATGATGAAGTATTGAGTCCAATAATATATATATCTATACCAAAAAATCAAATTCGATCTTTTATACAGCAAGGTACACCCGATACACTTGTTACTATTAATACCAATGGTGTTGTGGGAAATAATGGTTAGTTGATGCTATTGTTTGTTCCATTTTCTAAAAGAAAATTTTCTATTTCGAATAAAATAGGTTGGCTTTCATATGATAAATCATCAAATAATCTTTTTACCTTTGAACTAGATGCAACATTACAATTTGAAAAGTAATTATTCATTTAAGTAATTATTTTCAAATGTTCCCCTTTTTATTTTCTTAGNAAAGGCCTTTCAATACCTTCTATTATTAGAATGTATTTTTCTGAGCTAAAAATCGCCTTAAACCAAAGTAGTATTTAAGAAAATGCTTGGCAATGTCTTAATTATTGCTATTCATACATTTGATTAAAAATTATCTTCACTAAAGAAATAAAAAAAATGAAAATTTTGAAGGCCTTTAAAGCAAGTTCATTTAAAAATCATGATGGTTAAAACTTGCTTGTCGCTTTGATGATATCAATTATGTTCATGTGCGTATATGCTAAAATATGGATTTACTATTAACTGTTTTGCAAAGCATTAAACAAATCAAATGATAAATTAAAAAAATGTCGCCTTCAATTTTCTTTCAAAAATTTTTTTGCACTTATTTAGATCATTGCAAGACAAGAAATTCAGCATGATACACAATCAATCATTTCAAATGTTGATCGATTCAGTCTCGTACCCTTATCCCTACTATTGACGAAATATATATTCAACCTTTTGAAAACTTTTATTTTTTATTAGTATCATTTTTATTAATAGGCAAGATCTATACCTCTATATTTCATTTGATGAGTATATTATAACAATTAAATGAATCATCTTAGTATCTACTTGATTGAAAAATTATCAAAGAAAAATTACGTTCTAGATATATTAAATATTACCAAATTGATCTCTAAATATAAATCATATTCATTGTATTAAAGACGATTTATTCAGAAAATCAAGCTATTGAGTTTTTATGAATGAATATTATCAATTAACTTAAGTTGTCAATCACTAAATCATACGCATAGATGGATGAATTAAAAAGTCAATAATATTATTTTAAGTCATCACATGAACGTTTATTTTTATTTTAATGGAAAGTTAATACAAAACCACATGGAACTAATAAGAGTTGGAAATGATACTGCTTGGCTTTTGTTTTTCTTCTGAATTAAATGATGATATGAGAAATAACCTCACCTAATGACAAGAGTGGGATAAAGAAGAGGAGACACGCACACACAAACAACACTGATTAAGAAAGAAGGAGATGGAAATATTAAAGTTTATGTGTGGTCATTGTTTATTGTTTCATTTTTTTCTTAAACAGTACCACATTTGCTAATAACAATCTTGGCTTTTGGAGTACCCGATTGTGCACCTAGATTTTAAGAAAAACAAAATTTTTCACTAAAACTGAACTCAATCATGTTTTATACCGTAGCTTTCAATCTTTTTGACAAGATCCATACCATCAACGACCTCACCGAAGACGACCTATTAAAAATTTTTGAAAAAAGAGAAATAAAAAAAAACAAATTTCAAATTGAGAACATTACATGTTTGCCATCGAGCCATGATGTTACAACAGTTGTAATAAAAAATTGCGAGCCATTAGTATTAGGACCAGCATTAGCCATTGATAAAAGACCAGGTTTTGTGTGTTTGAGTTTGAAGTTTTCATCAGCAAACTTTTCACCATAGATACTAAACAGAAGAAAATTGCAAATATCATATTTAGTTAAGGTTGAAACAGAAATATTGACTCACCTTTTACCACCAGTTCCATTACTGTTCACATTTAAAGAAAACAAAAAGAAAAGGATTATCTATTTAATATAATTTTTCTTTCACATGTCAACTCACCCTTTGGTAAAATCACCACCTAGAAAAAATAGTCAATTGATTTATGTTGAAACAATATCGAAAATAAAATCTGTTACCTTGAAGCATAAATTGTGGAATTACACGATGAAATCCACTTCCTTGATATCCGAAACCTTTTTCACCAGTGCACAATGCTCGAAAATTGGCTTTACAATAAAAACACATATTAATATTTTTTTAAATAAATGGATAAATAAGTCTTCAAATTACCTGTTGTCTTTGGTACCACATCATCATATAACTATGAAACACAAAAAAAACGAATATTTCTGTCAAAGAAAAATTTCCTTTTTTATGCTTTACTTTGAATGTAATACGACCACTTGGACTACCATCGATTGAGATATCAAAATATACGTTTTCGCCAGACATCGTTTGAATGATTTGATGAAAAAAGATATTAGATCTAGAACATTATATGAAATCATCAGAATGAAAACATGAGATAGTTAAAGAACATATATTACAACAAAGAAAATCTGACACAAAATCCATTGTACAATATTTATAGAAACACATACTCATATCAAGAAAAAAAAATGCGTACACATTAAGAGAAAATATTCAGACAAAACAACATCTGACAACAGGCCAATTCATAAGAAATTTATATCATAATCAGAGAACATACACTGAAAAAAAAATAGTATAACAGATGACTAGGAGAATAAATTCATATTTCAGTCATTACAGACAACACAATCATCTTAATCGATATTTAATTCATTAAGTAAAGTATTTGATGATTGTTGCAATGTACAAGACGGTAAATGCGAAAACTAGACAAAAAAACGACAACAAACTTAAAATTTAATCATAAGTTTTAATTTTATCACTTACACGAATAAAAATTGATGTACAATTCATTTCTTTAATAATCGATCTACATGATGAATCTTTTGTTAAATTAATTAGTGCTCCAATAATATTATCTAATAAAATATCTAATTTATTATCTTCAGATATTTTTAATCGTTCACGATCAATTATAATTAATAATTCAATTAATCTTCTAACAGCATTTTGTTCACATAAATATGGAATTATTGTTGATGATAAAGCTAAATTTTTAATTACACCAACTGTTGCTTTAAGAATTCCCCAATGTTCTTTAAAATTTTTATCTCGTAATAATTTAATTATATTTCCAATACCATAAGATTTTCTTATTGTTTCACGTGCTTCATTTTCAAGATCATGACGAGCTGTTACATGTCGAAGTGTACATAACTAAATTTTAATTAATATGAGATTTTTAATTGCAAAAGGAATATTTTCGTTTTTAACTTACAACTACTTCAATAAGATCGTTATTTCCATCAGCATTCATCAGTAATTTTTGCATAAGTGTTTGTACACCATTTAATTTAAAAAATAAACTTTTATTTGCTCGATTATCTGCAGTTAAATTACTAAGTATACCTAATGAGCAAATAACTGATTGTTGATCATCAGTCGATAATATTGCAACTAATTTTTGAATTAATGAATCAATATCACGCTAAAAAAAGATTCATTTTTGTAAAAAATATTAATCGATTTTAAAATATATTTCTCGAAGATTTCCATTGAATGAATAACACAGAACCAAAATTTATTTCAAAACAAATAACATATTAAATCTCTATTAAACAATTCATTTTTTCTGTGAAATCTGATCCTAAAAGGGAATTGAAACAGAGATAAAAATCTCAACCCACTTCCCTCTCAGACTCTATATCGATTATGCCTGTTTATAATATACGAATAACTTCCTCCTTACGATTACGAATAGCAGCTACCTCGCGTTTCGTAGTTTAATCTCGCTGAAATTATACTAACAACTTTTCCAGTGAATAATAGATTCAACCGTCTGTGTATGCAATGAAATCTCTCTATATGAGCACCTTCTCATACTCAAGGGTGTCGAGTCTGCTCAAGCGAATTTGCTAGGAATAAACTTCTATAATGTGAGCACTTCCTCATTCTGAGCAGCGAGTGCTTAGTTCTAGGTCCCATGAGTGATAACAACCACCATGATGTGAGCTACATATTTCATTACTCACGTGAAAAAAATTCATGCTATATGTATTACCTTTTCATAAACAATCATGAAACATACATATGAAGGGAGATTAACCATGCATATCCAGAAAAAAATGTTACCTATTTTACTGCTTTTTTTTTGACTCGCTTGTAAAAAAAACAATTATATTTAATAGATTTTTCTTCAGTTTCGATATCTAATTTACTGTTATTGCGTAGATCAATCATAAATGGTTCATTTATCACCTGTTCAATCGATTTCTGTAGCTTAATTTGAAATATTTATGACTATACAAACAGTTTCATATCTCCTATCTTTTGTTTTATAAAACAAAATACAACAAATAATCGTAACTCATAAAATTCAGTTATATCTTTATTCATTCTCTTCGTTGATAATATCTTACCATTCGTGTTGCTTGATTTGAAATATTTCTTATTGTAATAAGACAATTATGTCTAATTCGAATACTTTTCGTTGTTCGTAAATGTTTCTCAAAAATATTTAAACCATTTAATTGTAAAATAGTACGTTTTATCACTTCATTACCCGATGATATTATTGGTAATAATTTTGATATTATTAATAGTAATTTATCATATGTACATGCATCAAATATACATAAAAGACGTTCAATACATTGTTCATTATTTTGTACAAATATTTTTGATTTTACATTATAAATTGACATTTTAAGTAAACTATCCGATACTAATGTTAATAATTTATCATTTGGTCTTTCTAATAAATGGATAAATTTCTCTATACCATCACATCGTTCAATTTCACTTGATGCTTGATCTTGAAAAACAATTAAAAAATTATGTAATATTGTTACTACAAATTTAACTGTCTCGTCCGGTGAACTAAAAATGAAAAAAGAAAATGTTTAAAAAGAAAAACAAGATCATTGTGATAATAAATATTCTTACTCGAGAATTGAAATTAACCGTGAAATTCCACCACAATCAAGAATAACACGTAGACCTTCTTGTTGTTGAGATAATGAATAAAATAAACTAGCTAATGCATGAATTATTTTACCATCACCAATATATTTCGAGAAGGTCTCCAATAATGTATTAATTAACTTATAAAAAAAAAAAAAAATAATTACATTTTGTTTCATTGAAGACATCGATTTCTTACTTCTCGATTTCGAATAACTTCTGATCGACTTTCACCACCTTCTCTAATTAACATATGTGTTAGCAATACAGCTTCACGTACAATAACTGAATCATCTTCCATTAATAAATTTAGTAATTCAGGTATAACTTGAGCAGGTGGAAGTTTCGCAGGAGGTGGTGCTGGTTGCAGTTCAGTATATTGTGGATGAGTATTTTCAAGATCATTTGATAAACGAGATGGATTATGTTCATAGACTGATGGTGATCCATGATGCATAGGACCAGTACTTGTTGATTCAATACTACGTAATGATGCTGGTCGAGAATTAAATCCTGAGTCACGTTGTGATGGACATACAGTCGAACCAGAATATGAATCATCAAGCCACATTGTTGTATGACTAGCAGAATTCATGGGCTGTAAATGATTTGACATAATTGGATTTTGTGAATGATGTGGTGGAGGTTTACATGGAAAAGGAGCTTGATGATGCATTTGAGGTGGATAGTCCATGATAATTATCTAGAATCGTAAAAAAAAAGAATTATTGATGCACGTTATTTCTATTATCTATCGCTATTAAGTTCTCGAGAAAGGGTATCATTACGTGATCATTTTTCTTACCTAATCGTATTCAGTATGTGCGTGTATAAAGAAGCCGAAAGAAAGAAATAATGTAGAAAATGAAAATGAGGTGAAGAACATGAAAAAATGACACGACGGTCGTTCTTTGTCCGTTTTAAAACATATATTCATTGTACCTTGTCTTTTATCAACCAATAGAAACATTCCGTTGCTTACTGGTTGCAACTGAATCCTCTCTATTTTATTTCTTATCAATGCCCTTATCTCTATTGAAGTGGTGTTGGTTTTTCGATATCGAAAATAAATAAAGCACTACCAAGATAAGTTTGTTAGTAAAAAGTCAACAAATTATTCGAGATATGTCGCCATCTATCAAACTCAATACTTGTATAACTAAAATAAGATAGTACAAACACTCGATCACGAAAAACTAAAATATGCCATACCTATATGATTTTTTTTTGATTCACTTCTCGTTCATGCTGTTCGTAGTAATGTGAAAGAAGTTTTTTTGTTTACATTTACTGATGTAATCAAAGTTTTATTTCTCTCTCTGGTGAAGCTGATTCATTCTCTAACCGTTCATGAAAGGTATTACATACTTAATAAATACTATTGGATTTTTTTTTTCTTTCAAACATTTTTCTTTTCTGTATTCTCTCTACCCAAACACAAAGTTGATAGAAAAAAAAAGACTGCTAGCGTAAGTGTTACATCAAATCAACCATCACGCAATCAATTGCTACAAAATAGAACACAATGACAGGGTTAGAAAAAAGGATACGAGAATTCCTTAAAAAAAAAACAACAGATGAGCATTTTTTCTCGCAAATTATTTTATATTTTGATCAGTCTGTAATTCACCACTATCAGCAATTGTGATCTTTTTTTCAGTTCGACCTGATTGTGAACCTAAAGCTTCGACTTTTTTCACTGTTTCCATACCATCAATAACTTCACCAAAGACAACCTTTTAAAAAAATATCGCAAACAATTACACTAATATTTGTTTTACACAATACATACATGTTTACCATCAAGCCAAGGAGTTGCTATTGTTGTAATAAAGAATTGAGAACCTACAAAACATAATTAACATTATTTATTACTTTCGAATAAGTACTAATTACCATTTGTATTCTTTCCAGAATTAGCCATTGAAAGTAAACCTTCTCGTGTATGTTTTACTAGAAAACTATCCCAATAATAAACAATTTTTTTTTCTACGTGAATAAAAAAAATAGTAACTCACTTTTCATCAGGAAATTTACTTCCATAGATACTATTTTTATGAAATCAATTAATAAATGAAATATGACATCTTTATTGAAATTATTCTTACCTAGTACCGCCAGTACCATTACTAGAAAAAAAGAAAATGTTTTCTTTTTAAAATTTTTTTTCTATAAAATAAATCTACTCACTGTCGTTCGAAATCTCCACCTTGTAACATAAATTTTGGTATTACTCTATGAAAGATTGAATTTTTATAGCCATACCCTTTTTCACCAGTACATAAAGCTCGAAAGTTTTCTATTCATATAAAAAGTTTTCACTATTTTTTTTCTAATCAACAATTTTTTTTGTCATTCATACCAGCTGTTTTCGGAACAATATCATTATAAAGCTA